AATTACAGATTATAGTTACTTAGCATCTTTCTCCATTCTGCTGAGAATCAACACAGATACTCTGTATTAGAATCTTCCATGGTCACTTACTTTAATAAACTTAATTTGGCTTGAAATGTTTACTCGCTAACCATCCTCCCTAATTTGAATATTCTTGGAACAGACATTCTTACGAAGGTAGAATAAACCGCACAAACCCTAAGTCGACTCTGTCAGAATCTGCTATTCTTTTAAAACAAGCAGTCTCCAGATAATGCAAACTATAATAAAAGTAGAGAAAGTAGTAAGCAAAAAGTATAAAATATAATAATCACGGTGAAATTTTGCATGTAGCTAGCACAAGACGTTGCTATGTTCCTGCTTAAAAACTCCGGGGCAATGAAGTTCAGACCCCTTAATGTGGCTCCATTTGCTGTCTGTTTTGTGTCTTCTCACTGTTGCTCCAGCCCACATCCCCGGCTGTACTCCAGCCTCAGGAAACCACACCAGCACCCCCTCCCCCCCTCCGCCAATGTGCATTCATCTAGCACATTCTCCTCCACATTCTCTTGCTCTTGTTTTCCTTTTGTATTCTCTTCCCTCAACACACACACACACACACACACACACACACACACACACCCCAGGCACCACTCACTCCTTTGCCTCGTTCCTTCTCAAATCCTTTGGGTCTCAGTTTAAATGTCACTTCTTCGGCATCCTTCCCTGACCCACCCATCTCCCATCATCCTCTCTCAGCGTTCTCCTCAGAACACATATCACAGTCTGTATCTGTACATTTATGGGTGTCGTTATTTGGTTAATACCCCTCTTCATCCCTAGACTGCAGGCATCAGAAAGGTAGGCAGGGTGTGTTACGTCTGCCTCGTTAGTACTCATCACAATGTCTGGCACACACACAGTAGGATCTCAATAAATATCTGTTGAATGAATGAAGGAGACCCTAGCTTGGAAGTACTCAACAATGGTGAATGTGATTCAGACCACTGGTGGTTTCCATACCATGGCGGGGGGGGGGGGGGGGGGGTGCTAGCAAAGCACCTGAAGCTAATGTATCAGGAGCTTCGATCCCCACATTGACCCCTCCAATGGGCCCATCTGCCTCCCTTCTCCTGGGCGCCTGCGTTTCATTTCCCTAAGCCTTTTCACACAGACTCCTCAATGGCGCCCTCCCATCTCCTTCCCACAGAAGCCGTATGGCCCCCTCTCTGGAGCTGGACCCTACCTCCCATTTCCCCAGAAACAGTGTTTAGCCAGGAATAAAAGGGAGGAAGCGCTGAAATAAAACCAAAAACAATCCTAGCAGCCACAGGAAGACTCTTCCAAGACATTTTTATCTCTATTTCTTGGACTAAAATCGGGAGACACTACTTTTGACTCTTCTGCTGTGTCTCACAATGACATCCAGAGACACATTACATTCCCACACGCTGCCCTCTCCCATTTGGTTATGACAACTTGCTATGATTATCAACAGTTTTTGTGCAATGATGCATATCCCATGACTCGTACGCCTTAACAAAAACCTCCTTACAAATTGTTTACTGTGTCAGATGCCTAGTTATGTTTTGACAGTAGCTTTTCCTTTAGGATTTTAGAATCCTGTAGGATCCTTTACTAAGATTCTGCTTAGATTTTCCCAGTTCTTGAGTTAGTGTGTCTCAAACATCCACGGTACAACACACTTCAAAATATTTATGCTAGGTATTCATGCTGGATTGCACTATGATGCAGGGCTGTCTCTTTCAATATGGATACTTGCAGAAATGCCCTGTAGAACTGAAAATAATTTTAAATATAAAATACTTGAATAAGAATAATTAAGTAGCTTTCATCAAGTTTTGAAGTAAAACTCTATTCTACAGAAGAACCAAAAAGCCAGTCAAAATACAACCAAATGTGATCCACACTTACTGTAAACAAAATGCCGTGTGTCAATATTCTCTCTTTCTTTGCTAATATGAACCATACTTACTCAATGCCTGCTATGTACCAGGAAGATGTACCTCTAAACCTTGGGCATATATTAATTCATTTAATCCCACAACAGCCCTTAGAGGAAAACACAATTGTTTTTATGGTACAGATTAAAAAAAAAAAAAACCTGATGCACAAGAAATTCAAGTAATTTGCTCAAAGTGACACAGGTGAGAAGGGGCAAAAGCAAGTTACATACCCAGGAATCTGCCTGTAGAGCCTGTGAGCTTAACCATTTCTCTATCCCCCTACCGGAGGATAGAACCTTACCATGGAATAGACTGAGGCAAATAATCGTTTTCTATTCCCAAATTGTCATACCTATTTTACTATATTTTAGGTTGTGTTATACATTCTTATTATTATATGATATATGTGCACCCATATTATTTTATCAAGGATAACACTAGATTTTGATCTTTTGTATATTTTAACTATTGCCAATACCTAGCTTGGTATAATGAGGTAATGGAGTCAGGTAGACCTGAATTTAGAATCCAGCTCTATCACTTACCAGTTGTATGACCTTGGGAAAGTCCCTTAATATTTCTGAACCCCTTTGTTATTTTGTAAGATGGGGATCATTATAGCTGTTTTAAGGAAAATGAGATAACGATGTATAAATTGCCTGGTATGTGGGTGATCAATAATAGGCCTTACTCCGAGTGTGTAAGTAAGAACACTTGGAAATTGCATTAATTCTCATGAAAAAGAAGGCCCCATCAATAAATTACTAATTCGATGTTGTAAATCATGTTGTCTTGGCTGAAAATAGTTTATACCATTCCTTAAGTGTCCTGGCTGTATTAAGAGATGATAGCATTTACAACAAAACCATATTTTTCTAGCCTAATCGAAAATTTTACATGTAGCTACAAAGGATTACGTTAGAAGACCAGTGGATCAAATGGACAGTTATATGAATGTGCAACACTGAAGAGCCAAACCGGTAAAAGGGCGGGTATTTCACAAATCTCTCACATTCTATGGAAGTCTACTTTCCCAAATCTCCTCCATTGGACTCAGCCCTATGTTTGTAGACACGGGCCTGTGAAGGTACCATATATACATGAGCCTTTCTGGGGGTCAACCTCCAGGTCAAATATTGTGCCGGAAGAGAGTATGTATTGAGGTCATCAGAGAGGAGCCTGGGGTGCATATCTTCGGTGTGAGAAATGTCATTCTGTTTAATCCGCTCCCACCCCTGCCGATGGGCAGTAGCTACATCCTATATCCTGTGAACCACCTCCCTTCACAGATAATAGGAGTGAATGTGGGCACTTGGCAGACAGGCAGCCAATCCAGAGACAGGCCACAAGCCGGGGTTTTAGGAGGTGGCCCAATAGGAATGCTTCTTCGAGATTGGGTTTTAGCAAACAGAAACTCAGGCAATTGTCAAGGAGGCAGGAAGAGAAACAAACAGAGAAACTTAAGCGAGTTGGTAGGGCTGGAGGGACCCTGGGACATCACAAAACAAAGAGCAAAGTAAAGTGAGGATAAAAACCATCCCCCCCCCCCCCACCCATTGCAAAGAAAAGTAGATGGAGAGAAAAAACAGAGGTATTCCTAGACTGCTTTGATTTACATTATCTTTCATTGTGGTTTCAGTTTACCTGTGTTTACAATAGACCTTCCAATAGTTGACCTGAGATGGCGATTTCACATAGGAAGGTGCAAGACACATTTCACAATACGAACTTGAGATTAAGGGGACACACTGACATATAACCATTGTTATAGAACTTAATTAGCAGAAATGTGGCCAATTCCTTCTGATGTCCCCAGTACCTGCCTGTGTCCTACACGCAGCCAGTGACACAGACCTTAATGCTGCTAATCGTAGAGGCTGAGGACAGCACTGGCTGATGAGCACAAACAGCTAGGACTGAGCCCACAACCGACATCTGCCCTTCTCCACGGCAGTAAGGGAAGGTTCACACTGGAAAGGAAGCCAACAGTGCCAAAAGTGCAGCCGAAATAGTGGGAAACAGAGGGAGAACTCCAGATGTTTAGGATTCGGATGACTATAAACAAATTTGTTTCCCCAGATCCACCAAGCTTGCTGTTTAAAATTATTTTTATATCTGGTAAACAAACCCATATTTCTTTTCTTGGTTGCAAATAGACTAATTCTTTAGGGAATGATAATACTCATACCAGTTAGTGCTGTTTTTTCTTCTTTCTCCAGAAATTGCGTAATTCACACATTAACCTGATTGTCTCGATTGGTCATTTTGAGAACTTGGGAACTCAGTATGAACACTGCATTGGCAGTTACTCACCCAGACTGGGTTTATGCACACCTGTCACCCAATTATTTTTTTTTTTCGCTGGGCCAACTTTAACATCCAAATGTTACTTTGGCCATAAACAGGTTTCAGACATTACATCTGATACAGTTGTCATGGGAGCAGGACAGGGACGTGGGGTCACCAAATAAATTAGCGGCAGGTAATTATCTGAGTTTGTGCCTGGAAATTTCATTAATGCATCTATTACTAAGAAATGTCCACTCCTATACAACCATTGCTTCTTCTTTCATGATTTGAATTATGGATATCTTCAGCCAAGAAATTAATATTACTGTCCCCACTGCACACCTTCAGCACATAATTATTCATATTTGGTCATGCACAGACCAATGTAGAGCAAGTTTGAAGACTCCTTTTGGTAAGTCCCAATAAATATGCTCCTCTGCTTGCCTTCCACACTGCCTTTTAGGAAAAGGGTCTGCCTTTCCTCCTGGTACTCACGTTTCTTTAGAGTCTGTTGTCAGAGTTGGAATCCACTAGAAAGAACAACAGTATTTAAAAAAAATCTCTGGAAGCTTCTCTGCTGAGCAGGGTTGAACAAGGTTGATAATCATCGAATGCCTGATTCAGACCTTGTATGTTCCAATGGGAGCATCGGTGCGCGCGCTCAAACGGGTTCTTGCCTTTGTATACACGGAGTGATTGTGAGATGGTTGATAGTAGATGAAAGCTACTGCTAACAGTCCTAAAACCAAACCATTCGTTTTCCAGGGCCGTTGTTCAAGAGAAAACTGCAAGTATCTTCATCCTCCAACACATTTAAAAACTCAACTAGAAATTAATGGGAGGAACAATTTGATCCAGCAAAAAACTGCTGCAGCAATGCTGGCCCAGCAGATGCAATTTATGTTTCCAGGAACCCCACTCCATCCAGTGGTGAGTACATCGCATCTAATGATGGGCTTGATGATTAAAGTGTTGGTACGGGCAGCACCACATTGACCTAAAAGGGCCTCCCTCTACTTTGTCTCTGGCTACAATTAAAGCAAAAAGCTTTGAAGCTAAATGGATGCTGAAAATAGAGTTTTTGAAATTATTTAAATGGAAAAAGTGTGTATGGAAACAGTAGGCGAAGACAATTTGTAAGCAGTATCTGGGAAATCTGTGTCCTCCCCCCAACTCGTGCTCACTGGTAAACTCCACATTTGAACCTTAGAGCTGAAGAAGTTCTACGTTTTCATTTAGACTATGCAGTGATGATGTATGTAAAGAGGAGTTTTCGATGCCTAACAGGTTGTTCGCAATCTAGCAGGTAGACTATCAGTGGCATCGTTTTAAGGGTGAGTGAAGGGAGAAACCAGTTGAATGATTTACCCAATGTCACACAGCTAATAAGCCGTGGGTCAGGCACTGGGGCTCAGACATTCTGAGCAGGGCGCTTTTTCTGCAATGGGCTCTGCCTGGAGCCCCACACCTGCCGCCTCTCCGAGGCCTGCAAAGGGTGTGGTGCGGTGGCCCGGGGCCCCAAGTTTAAATGCTCCGGGGAGTTCAGGCTTTGAATATGTGTTGTGTCATATTTTCTCTCTGATTTCAGTGTTTGAAAGTATTTCCTTAAAGGTCTGCAAATCGTTTTAGGAATGAGGCCCTGGGGGAAAGGAGTGCATTTGGCTTCCATGGATTTCATTTACATCTGTGAATTATTTGTCAAAAACAAGCTAATTTAAGGGAAAAAAAAACAACCCACACACAACAAAGCCAGTAAAGTGAGAGATATTTGCTTTTTTTAAAAAGAAGTACATACACAAAAGACTATTGTTTAAAAATTAGTCTTTATTGTGTGAAAAGTCTGTGTTATTGAAAGCTGCTAAGTTAAAAAGGACCGCTACAGCTGAAATGTACTTTCTTGAGTGTCTGCGGGAATGGGGGGGGGCGGGAGGCTGGGAAGGCCCCGGAGGAGGGGAGATCTGGGCAGATGGTTAGCAGTTCTTCTGCTTAAGAGTGGCGGGTGGCAAAAGTAGCCAGGACCCAGCTTTGCCCAGAGTGAAAAAAAAAATCCAGTTGCACGAAGACTCAATAAATAAGATACAGCCTTTGGGGGTAGACAGAGGCAGGAGAAGGGCGAAGTAAGATTCAGGCACAGAGAATTATGATTTTGAATGAGACAAGAAATGCTACGTGGGGAAAATCCCAAACAAGTGTATCCCAAAGGCTGAGTGGCAGGGAGCCTCAATGTAAGGAAAACATAGACGGATTTCTGTATACATTTAACACCAAATATAGGCATGTAAGTGGATCTGTTTAAAACCACGCACACATGTATAATTTATGGTTCTCTATTGATGTTCGCACATAAATTATTTTATTAAATTACCTCAAGCTAAAATAATTTAGTTATTCATCTTAAATAATGTCTGTAGGAATAAACTTAGAGCCACCAAGATCAACATAGTCACACTGCATTGAGTGTCTGCCTCACTCATTTTAATTATTCACTTCTTATTTATTTAGAATTCATAAAGATTGACCCCACTTAATAGTGGTCAGGGTATTAAGAAAAGCCCATTCCTGTAGTTAGCTGTTAGTTGAAATTATTTTTGAAAGGTATGTTTATGTCCTGTCTCAAATATTAATTAGAAGTTAATAATCATGATTTGTCTATGAAAAAGGAATATTACATTTAAATATTTTAATGGAAGCTTTGTAAATCACAAGACGTCTCAGAATAAAAACTGTGATAAACCTAAAAATCATCAACTCTACAAACAAATAACTTCAGAATCTCAGGAATGCATCAGCGATCTCGGCCAGTATAGTGAGCCAAGTGATGACCCTGAAAGGTATGCGGAACCGGTAAATGTCACCTCTAAGGAAACCGTGATTAAGTTAAGCATCTTGGATGGGATAGTCCTCACGGGTTATATGCAACCACAAGTATCTTTATGAGAATGAGGCAGAGGGAGAGTCGGCACATAAAGGAGAGGAGAAGGAGAAGAGCCATGTGTCCACAGAGGCAGAGACAAGTGACGAGGCCATAAAGCAAAGAATGCCAACAGCCCCCCAGAAGACAGAAGAGACAGGAGTAGATTCTTCCCTGGAGCCTCCATAGGGAGCATGAAATGCCAGTGCCTTGACTGGAGCCCAGTGAAACTGATTCCAGACTTCTGGTCCTCCGAATGATGAAATGCTAATTTTTGTTGCTTTAAAGTTGCCAAGTTTGTGGAAATTTCTCAGACCAGCCACAAGAAACTAATACATGCAGGAACTGCTTAAAACAAACTGATAAACATAGAGTAGCAAGTACCACTCCCTTCTAAGCTAAACTTCTCTAAAAAACTGTGGATATTTCTTCCACTCCCTCTGACTTCCAGCCACCCTAGACCTAAGCTATTGACTATCTCACCAGTTACTGCCATATTGCTAAACCAGTGGTCATTTTTGCCTTCATTGTGTTCATTTGACCCCTTAGCCATATGCAACATATGTAATCTACCTTTCCTTTGTGGAATGCTCCTTCCTCTCTAATCTGTATTCATCTTCTGGAAAAGGCTGGAGATGCTGCCCCCTATGTTCTTCTGCTGTATGTTGAAGCTACTATACATTGAGGTTCTCAGCACTGGACATTTCTTCTGTTGACCCTCTCCTTCATGGTCACGTCCATTCCTATGGCTGTAAGTCACATGCAGGCTGTGAACTCCCAAATATGTTTCTAGTCCTCTCCTCTGAGCCCCAGGCATACATATCTAACTTCCTACCGGACTTCACCTTTAAATTTCTCCCAGGAACTTGACATGGTCAAGCCCAAATTCTTTATCTGACTAAGTTCAGTAAATGCAACCGGCAGCTTCAAAACCAAAATCAAGCAGATTCTCTTCCATCCAGTTCATCAGCAAGTCCTGTCATATCTGCTTTCAAGTCTGTTCCATTCTCGAACTCCCCAAACTCCCGTCTGAGCCACCATCAATCTCTCAGTCAAAATACCCTAGAAGCATTTCCTTTCTAATCTCTCAATTTCCATTCTTGCTTTATTCCAGTGTATTCTCCATACAGCAACCAGAGGAATATTTTTAACACATAAATGCATCATACCACTCCCTTACTTAGAATCCTGCAGTGCCTTCCCATTTCATTAGAGACAAGGCCAAACATGTAACCATGACTATGATCTATAATGTCATTTGTGGTCTGGTCCCCATCAGCTCACCAGCCCATCATGGGCCACTCTTTCTGTGTTCACTGAAACCGAACTTTCAGTTCTGTGCAGACACAATGCTCTTTCTTGCCTCATGGCCTTTGATCTTGCTGGAAGTATCTGTCCTGCCGCTCTTCACATGTTAGCTTCATCTGATGCATAAGGACTCCAAATCTATCCTCTGCAACTGACCACCAATCTCCATCACTATGAGTAAGGCCTTCTCATTTCTGCTTATCCATAAAAACAAATTGTAATTTTATTTGTTCTTTCCTATTAGGTTTTAAGTTCAGTAAATGTGCACACAGTGTCCTGGTACAATGTTTATACCATCAAATACTTACCGAATGAAAACACAAACCATTCTTTCCTCTTATGTCTCAAATTTACTGTATTTATAAAGTTCCCCTAAGTTTTTTGTCCTGACAGTTTTTCTCTCCCCAATTCCTAATAGGAGTAATTCTTCTTTTCCTTTCCTTCCTCACATGCTGCACCTCCCCCAACACACAACCTTCATATGTACACTCAAGATAAAAAAGTGGGTGGTTGGAACTAATACACGAGTTCACTAGTATTGTAGGATACAAAATCAATACACAGAAATCTGTCATCTTTCTATACTCTAATAATGAACTATCAGAAAGAAAAATGTCTCATTTCTGACTGCATCAGAAAGAATAAAGTACCCAGAAATAGATTTAACCAAGAAGATAAAAGACCTGTACACTGAAAATTATAAGATATTGATGAAGGAAATCGAAAAAGGCACAAATAAGTAGGAAGATATCCCATGCTCATGGATTGGAGGAAGTAATATTGTTAAAATGTCCATTCTACCCAAAGGGATCTATAGATTCAAGTAATCCCTATCAAAATTCCAATGGCATTTTTCACAGAACTAGAACAAATACTCCTAAAATGTATATGGAGCCAAAACCCCTGAAGAGTGAAAGAAATCTTGAGAAAGAAGAACAAAACTGGAGGCATCATGATCTCTTATTTCAAACTCTATCACAAAGCTATAGTAATCAAAACTGTATAGTGTTGGCATAAAAACAGACTCATAGATCAACATAACAGAATAGAGAGCCCAGAAGTGGACTCACTCATATAAGGTCAACTAATTTGCAATAAAGGAGCCAAGAATATACAATGGGAAAAGTCTCTTCAATAAACGGTGTTGGGAAAACTGGACAGCCATATGCAAAAGAATGAAACTGGACCACTATCTTACACCATACACAGAAATTAGCTGAAAGTGTATTAAAGACCTGAGTGTAAAGTCTGAAACCATTAAAATCTTTTCCTAAAAGAAAATATAGGTGGTGACATCAGTCTTGATGATGATTTTCTTGACTTGATAACAAAAAGACAACAAAAAGAAAAATAAACAAGTGGGACTAAAAAGCTATACTTTTTCAAACTAAAATGCTAAACTTTTTCAAACTAAAAAGCTTCTGCACAGTAAAAGAAACCAGCCACAGAATGAAAAGGCAACCCATGGAATGGGAAAAAAATATTTGCAAATCAGAGATCCAATAAAGGGTTAATATCCAAAACGTATAAAGAACTCCTAGAACACAATATCAAACAGACAAACAAAATCCTGTGCTCATTTAAAAAATGGGCAGAAGATCTGAATAGACATTTTTCTAAAGAAGATATGCAGGTGGCCAACAGGTACATGGAAAGATGCTCAATATCACTAATTATCAGAGAATTACAAATAACAACACTATATGACCTC